TGACAACCGGCAGAATCTTCTTTAAAAATCTTTAAAAGATCAAAAATATAGCACCTATTCAACCATTCACTTTACATTTCAAACCTTTTTGTTGACTTTACAGCCTCTGAATCGTGCTCAGAAATGTTCTTAGCATGATTTCAGACCTGATCTGCCCTTTGGTTTTGGTTTTGGTTTGGTTTTGGTTTTGGTTTTGGTTTTGGTTTTGGTTTTGGTTTGGTTTTGGTTTTGGTTTGGTTTTGGTTTGGTTTTGGTTTGGTTTTGGTTTGGTGAGCAGGCTTAGCACACAGCGCCTCCTCAGGAGGATCCCAGCTTTGCTCTTTCACTCTGAACTCACACAGGAAAACAGAAACTGTTCCCCATTTTCTCGATGACCAAGCTAAACAAAGAGCCTTGAAAGGGGATCATGAGCAGATATTTACTACAACATTACAAATGCTACCAAAACTGAGTTGGTTCAGCCCAAAAAAGCCCCACAAATTTCACGAGAGTTGTTTTTAAGTTAACTGGAGCTTACTAAATTGTGCTTCCATCACACTAACTGGAGCATTCGTCCTGTTTTCGCTGATTTTCAGGCCAAATTTTCAGTTACAGAGACTTTTCATATGGAGGCTTCACTTAAACTGGATTTTGTTGCCTTTGCCTTCAGAAATTCTCCCAGATAGCTTCAAAAGAGGGAAGTCGGTGCAGTGATTTATAGAAAAATTTGTTCAAAAATTGTTTAAACTATTCTTAAAAGCTTCCTTCTCCTCCATCGCTGAATTTTTTCCAACCAGTCGTGTGTCCGTTCTTTAAGGAGTTTTAAAGAAACCTGCTGCTGCCTTCAAAAAACCACGTTTCCTGTCTGTCAAACTGTGTTTTCTTTAGCATTTTTTACACTTCAGCCCAAGAAATGGGAACAAATTCTGTTTGTCGGTGACAGAATGCTGCTGACAAAGATCCTGAAGATCCACTTTAAACTGCTGCTCTGTGGAGATGGACACAACGCAGGCTCACCCCTTGAGTTAGAGGCCTTTTTTATGCCCGAATGGTTCGTAGGTCAGCGTTAAATGGCTTGAGAAAGCAAAAAGTACAAAAAAGCTGCTTAACCCTGTAATGCCAAACGTATCATATTTGATACATACGGTTTCTGAAATGTTTTGCGTCTGACTTTTAATGTAAAATTTAATGGTTAAAACTTTGCTCAAAATCCTATTGTACACAATCAGATACACCTGATAACAGGGGGCAGAAGACTACACAAAAAATAATCCTGACTTATCGCATAGTAATAAATTATTCATATTAAAAATCTATTTCTGTTTTTTCTTTTTACATATTTTGTTAAAAGGCCAAAGAAGGACTTCCAACCAAAAAAAAAGTAATTTTCTTTTTTTTTTTTTTCCAAATACAAAAAATGAAAATAATAAAAATAATAATTTTTTTTTTCATTTTTACAAAAACAACCCCTCATTCCATTCCCTTCCCCAGCCCTCCCCAATCCTACAAGATGATGCTACAAATCAGTAATAACTCACATCCTTCCTTCTTACCGTACAAGAACATGTGAATAATAATAAAA